ACATTGATTAGACTTAATGTTGTAGGTACCCCCACATAGATTGCTCGTAGAAAGGGTTGGTTGGAACAAATTAAAGGCAGATCTCCTATTCTTATTCCACACCTCAACCCTCTCAAGAGTCTTTATAAGATGATAATGACTATCTTCTTTACTGGTTGTTCTAGGATAGAATGTGGACTTGCCTTTACTACTAACACACTAGCATTAGTGGACCCTGTCATTCTATCTCTTATAGGGCCACTTTCTACAAAAGTCACACACCTGTTTATTCTTCTGTCTCAAAATTCCTATGTCTTAATGAATGTCCTACTCACTTTCTGCTTCTATTCTGTGGGATAGTATCCTTTTACTAAGAAAGCTGAGGGGCAGCTAGGTGGTGCAGTGGATAGAGCACCAGCCCTGGATTCAGGAGGACCTGAGTGCAAATCCGGCCTCAGACACATAACACTTACTAGTTGTGTGACCCTGGGCAAGTCACTTAGCCCCATTGCCTACATTGCTTAGCCAAAAGAAAAAAAAAAGCTGAGATAACGGGCATGTCCTGAACATACCTCTTAGAATTCCATGTCCATCCACATCCATAAGCTTGGTTTTGTTTTGTTTTGTTTTTTTTATCTGATGATTCATTCCTCAGACACTTCATCCTTCTCTCTTCTAAGGAGTGGCTTTCCAGAGTCCTATCATTACTATTCTTCGATATAAAAAGCCATAGTGTAATGACAATTTAAACCAACAATTAAACAAGTAAACCATTAATTATTGCCATTCTCTTGATCCCATTTGGTATTCTTTATTTGTAAATGGAGAAATGATTAGAAAAAGGAGGAGACTCAATTTTAGCTACATTCTAACTTTGTTTTTATAAGAGTTGGGTGCTCTGAAAACCTGTTGGCTTATTTTAGTGTGTCCAAATTCCTTTCTATGCTATGAAGGATCAATTGAAAAATGAGATTAAGGCTAGCTAAAGAAATTCTTAAATGTTATCCATTATCCAGTGCCAAAATCATTATACCATTAAATATAAGAACATTGTATTCTACTGTATGAATGGCCCAACTGTCCATTTTTAAATCCTCATGTCAGTGTTCATTTGAGTTATGAATTGATTCACTACCTACCTGGCTGACAGAACCCTTAGGCATTTTAGACTTCTTCACAGATAATCACCTTTTGATTAGATTAGTTATTATCAAATAGATTCCTCAGCAGCAAAAAATTTGAGCAAGAGAAGAAATTAGCCTTGGTCACTTTCAGTCAGAGATGGAGATTAAGTAGATTTCTAAGATTATACCTCGGCTATTATAAAGGAAAAACAGGCAAGGTGAATTCTGCAGCCTATTCTAACTAACAGACAAAAGCATTTTCTTCGTATTCCAGTCAGGTCCCAACTAAACCTTTGCTTTATCGAACCTTTGCGATCCTCAAACTTAAATCCTTTGAGCTGCCATGAGTGTTTAATCTGGCTCCCAAGATTAAGATTCTTTAATAGGGCTGACCTATCATTTCACAGTCAAAAGATTATTTGTCTACTTGTGTACTTTATGTTTTGTTCAGTTAACAGGGAAAACAGAGTTTTCCCATGTGATGTCATTTACCTGGCTCAAGGATCTAGTTGGCTTTGGATACTTAGGAGTAAAGGCTTCAGGCATCCTTCAATGTGCTTTACTGTTATGCTATAATCATTTTTGTGTTTGCTATTCAGTAAGTTCTTGACTGAGTTCTAACAACATGTGCAGGATAATGAAACACAATAAGCCCACAGTACCTATGTAGTAGACTCATAAACTGAACAAGTCACCAATTAGGATCAAAGTAACACTGACAAGTATATTACCATATATACTCTCCAAACATATTTAGCTAGAGAAACAAAACAAACAAAACTCATTTATGGAGACTATGAGATTATCAGTATTTCTTAGCTATCTCTATCAGATCCACAAATAGATGAGCACAAAGCATGGGATAGGGGTACTGATGAAGAATTTTCTGAAGATATAGTCTTAGTGAGTAAAAGGGCAATCTGACCCTTTTCCTAGGAAGGTCGAGGATGGGAAGACAGGGTCCATGAGAAGGTACTTCAGAGACAGGCCACTTGGAATGGCAGCCTCAGGTCAGTTTCACCAAGTGGCAGATCAGGCTGATAGGGAACTAAAACAAGGATGCAGAGTTCCCTCAGGGAAGAAAGCATACCACATTCCTAAATGTTGGCCTCCTAATCCAAAGCCCCATATGCCCCATGTTATTTAAAGCTCTAATCTCCATTGAATTTTTGGGAAATTCCCTTCTAGTAATGGAATTGTTATTCTATCATAGTGGGTTAATAAAGTGTGATGCTTAAACAGGAGCTAGCAAATGTAGCCTCTGGAGTCTCTTAAGGGTAAATAGATTCTCTTTTCTGATTTAAAGTAAAGTAAATGTGTTTCTTTGGGTCTACATTGTATGACTGTAAGAAGTCCCCTCTCCTTTAACTTGTATAAGTTTTACATGATATTGAATTTAATATTTTAAAGTGATACTGACTGGGTAAAAAGTAAGAGGCTTAAAAAGAGAAATAAACTTTGCATCTGACAAACTAAGCATCTTAACAGAAATCCTACCATGAAACTCTTAATTTTTCTCATTACTTTCTCTGTATATTCATGTGTTTTTCTTTCATGATCAGTTTGGCCCCAGAAAGCCAGACCATTTTGGTCCATCAGTCCTTTCCTTTCATAATTTTCTTTTGATCTTGAATCATGGTCCAATGGATGGCATCTTATATATCTGCAGTAAAGTTTCCATCCAAATCAAACTTCCACCCAACAAAAGAAAATGTAATTGGGATTAAACCATTAAACCAGATCACCCTAATCTTTAGAAAAAAATATTTCTCATCCACCACCCAGGCAAAAATCAGTTATCAATGAGAAAATTGTATAGTTTTGTGATTCTCTGCATCAAATCAAAATTAAACTTTTGCTACTGAGAGGTGGGGTGAAGGACCAATGCTTTGCTTCTAATACTTCTGCTGTCATTCCTTCTTCCTCTGTTGTCTCAGTCTAAAAGGAATAATTAACATTTTCCTATATCCTTTACTTTTTCAACTACCAGGAAGGAGTTTTAAGGAAAATCAATAAATTACCACTCAAACTCTTGACTATAGGGAAGGAGGGAGATCAGCTACTCAAGTTAGGTGCAAATTTAACAGTGATTTTCTCTTTATCCCATTTAAGTAATAAAGAGCAAAGGACATTTAGGGAAGAAATGAGACAGAACATGGAGATTTGGTACCTTTCTGTCCTCCTCACCTCCACCTTATTTTTTCATGTTAGAAAAGAGTGGTTTCACTCTTGTGTGAAGTGTTATGAATTTCCAGGATGTCAGACATATTCATATTGTGAGGGTTTTTTTTATGTATTCCAAAGGGTTTGAAGAGCTATTTGGGCTGTCTCTCTTCCCTATTGGGACAGATAATTGAGATATGATGTGGAATAGCAGTGATGACCTAAGTTGGGTATGCTATTGCAGCAGTTCTTAGAGCAGGGATCTGGGAGTACTTGAAGTGGGTCCATGAGGTCAAACTTTTTTTTTTTCATAACAATACTAGTGTGATTAAACTTCTACCACAATAAATATCAATAGATATAACATACATTTTAAAAAAAGCACTTAAGGGAGGGTCCTTAATAATATTTATGAGTATAAAGGGATCTTGAGATCAAAAGTTTGAAAATTGTTGTGTTGTAGGATCACAGCATGTTTTTATTTTTTTGTAGTAAGTTTCCTTGTATACATTCTGAACACTACTCACCTCTCTCAGATCTCTTTGCTGTTTCACAGATTTTAAGAATGAATGAAATTTAAAAAAAAATATACTAATTAAGCACTTACTACATTCCAAGCATTGTGCTAAGCCCTGGAAATTCAAATAAAAAAAGCAATATAATCTCTACTCTAAAGGAACCCACAAACTAATTTTGGGAGGTAATACATAAAAGAAAGTTTGACTGTGGGGCAGATGACAAGGCTCGGGAGTCTTTATTTTGGTTGTAACCAAAGATCAGATAACAAGGCTTTGTGTCTGGAGGACATGGTAAGGACTAGAAGACCTTGGAATTAACATTGTTAGGGAATATTTTAAGGATTGTTGTTCCTTCATCTCACCAGAAAAAAAAAACAGAATTGGTGGCATGCACTTATCTAAGTGTCTTGAATAGTCAAGCTACCTGTGGAATCTAACTAGTGCTGGGTCAGGGAGAGAAGAAGGGAAAGAAAATGAGAAGGGTACTCCCAGAAGTGGCTGATTTTCTATGACCCTTGAAATGATAGCATAAATTTCTTAAAAGAGACACCTTTAATCCCTAATCATCATAAAGATAATCAATCAAATGACTTTTTCTCTTCATGGCCCACTCCCTTTCTTTTTCTTTCTCTCTGGTCTAGAGTAGAGGTTCCTAATATTTTGTGTGTGTGTGTGTCATAGATCCCTTTAGCAATCCAGTGAAATCCATAGATCTTTATATTTGTAAATGTAGAAAATGAAATACATAGAAGTAAAAAGGAAACAAATTAGATTGAAATACAATTATCAAATTTTTTTAAGTTGACCACAGTTTGAGAATCTCTTGTTTGAACATCACTGATATCCCTTTGCAACTATAACATTTTATGATCAATGATCCTGTTACTCAAGATTCAGTCTAGAAAATGGTAGAAGTACAAAAACCTATTATAGTTAGGTGGAGCATAGAGTTCTAGACTTAGGACCTAGAAGACTAGAGTTTGAACTCTGCTTTATATACATACTAGCTATATAGCCCTGGGCAGCTCACTCACCCTCTCATTTTCCTCATCTGTGTAATGGGGATAGTAACAACATCTAACTTATAGGGCTGTAAGAACTAAATGCAATAACATAGGCAAAGAATTTCACAAATTTTAAAGTGCTTTGTAAATGCTAGTTATTGTTGATGTTAGTATTGTTATAACTCTTAACTTTCTTTTGCAATTTATTCTAGGAATTTCTATTATATCACAATGCTGAGGGATCCAGTTTCCCGTTACCTGAGTGAATGGAAACATGTCCAGAGAGGGGCCACTTGGAAGACATCTCTTCACATGTGTGATGGGAGAAGCCCAACTCCAGATGAATTGCCTACTTGCTACCCAGGGGATGATTGGTCTGGCGTCAGCTTGAGGGAATTTATGGATTGTGGCTATAACCTGGCCAACAATCGCCAGGTCCGTATGCTGGCAGATCTTAGCCTGGTGGGATGCTACAACTTGACTTTCATGAACGAGAGTGAGCGGAATATGATCTTGCTGCAGAGTGCCAAGAACAACCTGAAGAACATGGCCTTCTTTGGGCTCACAGAATTCCAGCGGAAAACTCAGTTTCTATTTGAGAGGACATTCAATCTCAAGTTCATCTCCCCTTTCACGCAGTTTAACATCACACGGGCCTCTAATGTGGAGATCAATGAAGGGGCCCGCCAGCGCATTGAGGAGCTGAACTTCCTGGACATGCAACTTTATGAGTATGCAAAAGACCTTTTCCTGCAACGCTACCACCACACCAAACAGCAGGAACACCAGAGAGACAGGCAGAAGAGGCGAGAGGAGCGGAGGCTGCTGAAGGAGCATCGGGCTCACAGGTGGCAGAAGGAGGATGAGACAGCAGTCACAGAGGACTATAACAGTCAAGTGGTCCGATGGTGACACCTTCTGTTTCACCTCCCATGGGGGTAGGAGGACCATGGACAATGTTGTTATTTTGCTGAATCATCTAAGGGAGTGACAAAAATGAGCCATGATTTCTAAATATATGAGACCTGATTTGAACATCTGCCCTCCCTTTGTCCTTTTTCCCCCTTAACTTTTAACCAGCTTAAGGGGTAATTCCTCTTGTTTTTTTTCTCTTGACATTTTTCAGTCAATGATATCAAATAGGGTAGAATGACATCCCAAACAAACCACTCTGAAAGGCCCACACCAAGATGGGGAACCAAGAAATCTGTTTTTGTCTCCTTTTCAGACACACAGTAGAAGAATGACATGAGAAGCCAGAGCCTGCAGTGGCATGAATGTAAAAACCAAGCTGGGGCTTGGGAGTTCAGTAGAAATTGTTCTGTTTTCACAATGTCTTTGTAACAGTATTATAGGACTATTTATAGGGATCAAGAAAGTAAGAGAAAGAAGGAAAAAAAAGAAACATTTGCAGGCTCTCAGTCAAAAAAGAAGAGAATGTCATCCACTGCTGTGTTAAATTCATGCTAGAGGATGAAACATGTGGGCCTTCCTTCACCTTTGGACTACGAATGGCCTGAGTCTGGATGTATCTTAGAACACAAGCAAAAGGCAATCACTGCTGCACTAGTCTAACTGTGACCATCATCCTAGGCATAGGCCATGTAAACTTCCCCATCATCCTTTTTTAAAATAAGGTCCTGTTAATTGACTGGGTATAGCCATTAAAAAAAAGGATCACCATTAGTGATCTCTCACAGGTAGATGCCATTTTTTTCTCTTAAAAATTGAAAGTGGAACTGAAAATAAAAAATGAGGAAAGTGATATGTCTACCATGTTCTAAACTTACTAGTGAAGCATATTTATTAAACTAATATGTGTATTTTTCCAAGGAAATGGAAACAAATATCTTCCTTGGCATAGCACTGCCCACGGGACTGAAATTCTGCTATGAAAATAAGACTGTAAGGTTTTGGCTTGGACTCGATAAGGCAGCTAGCATGTGTGCAAGGTCATTGTTCTCAAGTTGTTCTATGAATAACACCATACACTGGCTACCACAAATGAGTGTTGGATATGAGATAATTATTCCAGATTTTCAGTGAGACAGGACTTAATGGTGTCTCAAATATCTTCAGTCTAGTACATTTTTCTTCATTCTTAAGCCTTTGATTGTTGTAGGAATAAACCTGTGATATAATATTTAACACATGCGACCATGATATATCCAATTGGAAGTTAATGCTCCTCAGATGCTTCCCATTCCCATTGATCTTGTACAAATGATATGAACAAAATAAACTGGCAAATAAATGAAAACTCATGGGATTGTAGGAGAGGGAATATCTGTCATGTTTTCTGTCATGTCATCAATTACATAGAATGATGTGGGTGCCATGAAAGATGAAGCTGAAAAGTTCCTACCAGAAGCATGACATGAACGCAAGTAGGATCTGCAAAGTTAATTGATTTTTTTTTTTGGTGATCAAACTTAAAAGTTTGGAAGGCAACCAACTTTCCTGAACCACCCTTCATCCCACTCTCAGCATAAGTCCCTTGGGTTGGAGAATCCATAAATCAACAAATCGATAAGCCTGCATTGAGTGGCTAATGAAAGCAAGGGTGTGTGCCATGTAATGAGGGAAGAAAGGAATTCATCCTCTTGATCAAGTACAGTCCATATGGTTCTATCAAATGTTTGATGGGAGTAGAAGGGTGGATAAGAAGCGTCTCTTCCATGACCCTCAATCCAGTCAGTAAGGTCATCATCCACGAGCAAAGGCTAGGATTAGAGCTGTATAAGTGTTTGATGGCACCAGCACTGACAGCAACCCTTCAGTATCTGGAATGAGCCAGCTGCTCTTAACCACTTGGGTTTGTTTCTTATCCATGAGGATGGTGCTTGTACCATGATGGTTTCATGATGGTTGATGGTTTCAGTCTCACTGTGGCCTGACACCTAACTGATGTTGGAAGTCACTCCCTCCCCACCCCATATACATATCCTTCCACCCCATCAAAAATGCCATTATGATGAATGACTTGGCAACTGTACTCTGGGAGCCATGAAGAGAAAATAAAAAAGAGTGACATAAATATGCCTCATTAGATGATAGAAATTAGTCTGACAAGAGATGGATCTGACAAGACAACAGTGTTTTCCATCCTGATGGTTTGTCTGTGAGATGAGGAGGAGAAATAAGGGGAAGGGAGAAAAGGAAGGGTTGCAGCTGGAATTAATGAGCAGATTTTTATATCTTCATTTTTTGCTGTGAATATAGTATGGTTTTGCTGAGACTGGCAGAGCTACAAATTTTCCCTTCTGCCTGCTGCTGGGGGAACACACACAAGTATGCATGCACATGAGCAGACGATCATGCCAGCACATGCACACACACACATACATACACACACACGCACACACATACTGCAATAATGATCCGGCTTTATGTCATTTGGAAATTCAGAATAAGTTAGAGAGCATTTGAATTTTTTTTCCTCTTAAACTTGCCTTTAAAATATTTGCAGGGAATTAATGCATCTCCAAGTCATCAACGACTAACATCATGCTATTCCTAAGGCAGAGGGAATTTACATCCAAAGGCTTTCCTCAGCATCATTGTTGCTTGCTTGATATATGGTGCTCCACTTGAGATGGGATATCAGGCTATTCAGAAGGGCAGTCAACTATTTGGATTGGCCTAAGGCCAAGACTAAGCAAATTAAACAGGCAGCTCTGGTCTTGTTCTGTTATATTCTTTCAACACAAAGCAGCCTCTGCATGGTCTCAAATCCCCTAGGTACTGAGGTGATATTATGGTGATATAAGTTGAGAGGTGAGAAGGTGCTTTCTTCACTGCAAACCAAATTCATACCTGCTATCTGAGTGGAAGGTTATTATGTAATTATCGCCTGGACCTAGCCAGCCCTATAAAGTAAGTCATCAGCCTTAAGATAAAAACACAAATCAGTTCTAATTATGGCAGTACACAAAGCCCCAGAACAGAAAAAAAATCTACAAAAATAAAAGCAAACAAAAAACCTTAGGGAGTTCCAAATTAGATAAAATACAATCATATTCAGCTCTACATTTACTACTCCTTTTACTCTCTCTCTGCAGTGGTTCTTTCCATAGCCTAACCATGCTATGAGTTTCCAAATGGTTTTATTAAGGTCTTTATGTATTTATGAAGTACCTCCTACATACAAGGCACTAAGATATATGAATCCCACTCTGTCTTCTTCAGACAAATGTTTGGCTAACTAAAGAGATCTGATGTGTTCCCTTTTCTTGATGAGTATATATAACTGGGGTATATTTGTTAATTTTTGATAAGGTCAATAATGTCCCCAAAAAACAGCAAAATGCACACTGTCCACAAGAAATTCAGAAGCCATAGGCTTTGCTGTTTAGTGTAACGTTGTGGATTTCGTCTGCTTTCACTAAAGTACTGAGATTTGGGGGCTGGGTTAATAGGATTAAAGTAAACTTTCTAAGAACTGAGAAGAGGAAATATTGTCTTTGGGGATACATTCTACTCAGTAGGCTAGTGCAGATAACCATTAGTGCAGGTTTTTAAGAAATATAGCTAAGGTATAGGGAGATAATCTGGTTTTTTGGGGGCTTGTCATTTAATTCATGTTGTACCCATATTTCATGACATAAAATTGAAATTAAGAATAATGTCTAAACTTTGTTTAGTGCTATATACCTTGCAAAGCACTTTCAAATACATCACATCATTTGACCAATCAATCAATAAGCATTTTTAAGCCTCCAATGCGGCAGGCACCATGCCAAGTGCTAGGTAAACAAAGTCAAAAATGAAACAGTTCCACCACTTAAGAAGATTGCATTCTATCAGGGAGACAACATAAAGATATAAAAAATGTGTAGAATAAATACAAAATGAATACAGGATGGTTTAGAGAGAGAGGACTCCAACAATTGGAGAGGATGAAGAAAAACTGATAATGTAGAAGGCTGTGCATGAGCTGAGTCTTGAAGGAAGTTGGGATTTCTAGGAGGAAGAGGAGAGGAAAGAATATATTATAAGTGTGAGGGATGGCCAATGCATAAGAATAGAGATGAAGGATCCCTATTAAAAAAAAAAACTTTGAGGAAAATAGATTAGCTATTATTATCCCCAATATGCAGCTAAAGAAACTCAGTCTCAGAGAAGTTAAATGAATTGTCGGAGGACACCCACCAATGCTGGTGGGGGATATACAAGGTCACTTGATTTCCTGACATACTTCAATGGTTATTTTTTTTTCAATTCATTACGCTGCAATGGATAATCCCTAGAGTTAAGAAGAAGGAGCAAAATGGAAAGCCCCCATTTTGGCATTCTCTTCATCTAAACCTCACAGAACTGCCAGCACATTGCAAACTGGGCCCTGTGAAATTTACCTTGCCTTACTTTCTGGTGGATGTGCTAAAAATCAGTGAAAGATCAAATGGTGGGCAATACAAGGTAAGGGAAGAGAAGGGAAAAACCTATGTGATCTGTATTCTGGAGTAATAGAGGAACACCACCTATGAGAAATGTGGATTAATTCTGCCCCCTCAAAAATTTCAACCCTTAAGTCTGTGATATTGCCTGAAATTTTTCTGTTAGAGATGTATTCCTTTGGATCTTAAAGGATTTTTGTCTCCAAAAATCCCAGCTTAAAAGACAGATGCTCCTTTTTTTGGGGAGGGGGAGGGAGGGTGGGCTCAGTGGTCAGAGATATAAGCATGTAAAGAACTTGCTTCTCAAGTACCACCTCAATATCAACAGATTATCAGATGCCTTTCCAATTTTGACAGCCAATTGAGAACAATGACTTGTAGGAGCAGGACAAAAGAAGGCTGCCTGTGTGTGAGGGAAAATTCCAGGAGCAGAGAGATAGATACTCAAAGGTAAGATGAGAAGGTCCAAAAACAAATTTCTCCTATTGCCCAGTTTTGCCAGGGCTGGCCCTTGGC